TTCAGTGCACAGGTCAGCGCCCAACCAACTGAGCCACACCGGCTAGGGCCTTCTCCGGGGTCTTACGTGAAGATGAATAGGAAGACAAACTCAGACTCAGCCCACAGAAGGGAAAAAGTGAGGCACACATGGGCCGAAAAGGAGGGCATGGACCTGGGGCTCAGGTGGTCTCCATGCACATTTCCTCCTACCTCTAGTTTCTGTATCGTTTCCTCTTTATCTTCTGTGGTCTTGGGGGGTCTCTTGGGAAGTAGAATGGTGGTCCCTGGTGAAAAGATCAAAAATTGAACCATTAGCCTGGCGGGTGTGGCTCAGTGGTTGAATGGCAACCTATAAACCAGGAGGTCACAGTTCAATTCTTGGTTAGGGCACATGCCCGGGATGCAGGTTCAATCCCTAGTAGGGGGCATGCAGGAGGCAGATGAGTGATGCATCTCCCTCATTATTGATGTTTCTATCATTCTCTTCCTCTATGAAATCAATAAAAATATATATGTATAGTTTTAAAAGTGAACCATCGGAGAGCAAACTTCCAACATTTCTACCACCTTCCTGCAAAGACCATGTCACTCTACTGCCCTCGTGTGGTCACCAAGGTGTCCAGCAACAACACTGGGTGCTTGGAGTAGGGGTAGGAGTAGGAGGGCAAGAGGAGAGCTCTTTTCCCTCTTTTTCCAGACACACTCACTCTCCTTCTGTAGCTTCCGCACTCGGATCCTTAGCTCCCGGGGTAGACGTCGCCAATCTGGGAATAGTGGGAAAGCAGAAGTCAGTCCGACCCTGCCTGGGGTGAGGGGGACTTCTGTGAATGATGGCTGGTTCTAGAGATAAGGGTTGGGATGAAGGTGAGGAAGGAACGGTTGGGTCAAAGTTGCTTGGAACGAAACTGTGGCTTGGATGCCTCCAGGGGAGTGAGGGCTAGTTACCAGGTTTTTAGGTGGAACCTGAGAGCGTTTACTAGTATACGGAAGGGTCCAGTTTGTAAATACTGAGGAGGTGGCAGGGGGGACAGAAGAGGGTGGATGGGGTGGCGGCCAGTGTGGAGGCATTTGCAAGAAGGGCAGTCAATGGAAGGACCCATCACCTACCAGGGTTCCAGTCGATGGCACTGTCAATCGGCCCTGACATCTGATATTTGTCTGAGTAACGCTCCACATCTGAGGGGTCAGAGGCCAAGGGTCAAAGTTTTATCCTCCCCGAGGCCTAGACCAGGGTTGTTCCTCAGGGCCCAGCCCTGTCAGTACTTAGGAATTGTCTGTTCCCTCAGCCCACACCCAGAGCCCAGGGGTCAGCTTCAGTGAGGACCTTCAACAGTCTGTAACCTGTCCCTTTCCACCTAAAAGTATGATTTTTTTTGTTATCTCCCTTAACCCAAAGGCATGAGTCTATCAAGAGGTAGTGATACAGTAAAAAGTACACTGGGGCCCTAACCGGTGGCTCAGTGGATAGAGCGTCGGCCTGCGGACTCAAGGGTCCCAGGTTCGATTCCAGTCAAGGGCATGTACCTTGGTTGTGGGCACATCCCCAGTAGGGGGTGTGCAGGAGGCAGCTGATTGAAGTTTCTAACTCTCTATTCCTCTCTGTAAAAGATCAATAAAATATATATATTTTAAAAGTGTACTGGAGACAAGGAACCAGGGCTCCCATATTCCCTTGGCTCCTTGTTCATGGGACTAACCTCCACAAGCCTTTCCGCTCCCTGGGAACCTTTCCACTTCTAGGGAACACACTGTACTTCCACAGCAGTTAATAAATACCCACTATCCCAGGCCTCCCATGTGCACCCCTCCTCCAGTCCCTCTTGGTGTCCCCGACTTCTCCACGATACACCAACCAGAAAGGTAACCCTTTAGTTAGCAGGGTACCTCCGAGGCCTAACACCAGCCCCCCTTCTGATTGGTTGGTGCCTATACTATCCAGATGGTTAAAAATTATAATACATCCCCCCCTTTATACGGGTGCAATACTTCACCGCCTGCTGTCCCAAGACTATTGCAAAACACAAAACCAATCGGGGACACTGTCAAGTGTTTCGAATTCAGGGGTGATTATTATGATCTCCCCACTGAGATGGTGAGCGTCCTGGCATCGCTGGCCCCCAGTAGGCACTGCCCCGGGAGGCACGAAGGACGGGATACTAGCACCCGACTGACCTCTCTTGGGGACCGCTGGCCGGATGAAGTAGGGGAGCTGCCTCATGGCCCCTCGCAGCTCCTGCTTCAGCGCCAGGACATACTCCCCTTCCTCTCCTGAGGGCAGAGGCACAGGGCGGAACTCCAGGGGCTAAGGAGACAGGGGTGGTGGTCAGTCCGGGGAGAAAATGCTGGAGCACAAATCCAGGGGGGTGTCTCCCCCCAGCTCAATCCCATGCTCCTGCTGAGCAAAGGGCCAGATGAGAAAAGGGGAGCAGCACAGGATGGTGGAAGTTGGGGAGCCAGGGCTCTGAGAAGTCAGGTAGACACTTCCTGGCCTGGAGAACATCTGTGGGAGCTGGGTGCACAGGGACAGGGAGGACCAAGGAAAGGTTGGTTCCATGACGGCCCAGGAGACTCCCAGCTCACATACAGGCAGCCAGGGGCACCGGGGAGGCCTGGGCAGGGAGGGCAGACACTCACGGGGAAGAGTGGTGAAGGCTGCAGGGTGGGTGGGGGCAGAGCATCCCCCTTCCCAATGCCCACAGCCTCCATGTTGAAGGTCAACTGGCCACGGCCCCGACCCCGGCCCCGGCTGGCCATGGTGGAAGCGGCCTGGGTAGTCAGAGATCCGATGAGAAACACCTGATGAAGATAAAAACAAGAGAAACAGCGTAGGAGAAGGGGTAGGAAACCAGGGAGGTATACGACACGCAATCTTTTTCCCTGGGAACCTGAAAAGCCAGTGTAATTCAACAGGTTTCGAATGAGAAGGCACAGCCAGGCAGGGTATTTCTGGAAATATAAACACGGATGAGACGTGGTCTCAACCAGACAGATAACTGCAATATAGTGTAACTGTAGCCCAAAGGGGAAAGTGATTAGAGCCTTGGATAAAACTCCCTTGCACCCCTCAGATAACCTGATGTTTATCACCATCTGCAGAGCTACCTATGACCTTTTCATTCTTTCTCTCCCTGGCTTTCCGAACCCAACCAAGCCCCACTTCAATCCAATGCAGTGCATTCCAACAACACGTTTATTCAGAATGTGCCATGAGAAAAGTAATACGACAGGCACTGTGGGGGCACGGGGATAAGTCATCAGTCTCTGTCAGTGGCGGGCGTGTGGGGGCGGGGAGGGCAGAGAGGAGAACCGTTACAATCAAATTGATCTTTAAGACACCACCTGGGAGCACAGAACTTAGAATTGGAAGCACCCACGTGCAGTACTCCACTCGGTAAGCTGTGAGTCATTCTGCGTCTGGGGGTATTTTCCTAAAGAGGGTGTCCATTCTCCCCCATGGCGGCCCATCCCGCGGGGATTGATGGTGATGAATCGAAAGCTCCTCTTGCTACTGAACTGAGCTCTGCCTCTTTCATCATCAGGCTTTCGGGGACTCAGACGCAGCTAGCATGGGGGATAAAGTCACCAAGTGAAAATGAAACTTGCCCGGCCCGGCGTGGTTCAGAGGCTGAGCGCTGACACATGCCCAGGTTGTGGGCTGGATCCCCATTGTGGGCCGTGCAGGAGGCAGCCGATGAATGATTCTCTCTCATCGCTGATGTGTCTATCTCGCTCTCTCTCTCCCCTCCTCTCTGAAATCAATAAAAATATATTTTTAAAAAAATGAAACTTGAGCCCTGACTGGTTTGGCTCAGTGGCTAGAGCGTCAGCCTGCGGACTCAAAGGTCCCAGGTTCGATTCCGGTCAAGGGCATGTACCTTGGTTGCGGGCACATCCCCAGTAGGGGGTGTGCAAGAGGCAGCTGATCGATGTTTCTCTCTCATTGATGTTTCTAACTCTCTATCCCTCTCCCTTCCTCTCTGTACAAAATCAATAAAATATATTTTTTATAAAAATGATACCCCAGTAGCAAGGAACATATCTAGCACCCAGATCTTGGTTTCTAATACTATTTTCTAATAAACGGAACCAAGGCTTCTTGAAGAAATGGCTAATTCTAGGATGGGGGCAGGAAACATACACCATGAGCCTGAAGTACCTTCTAGCGCCAGTAAGTACTAAGACAACAACAGCAAACAAACAAAACACCACCACACATTGATGGGGCTACGTCAACGGAGCATATGCGTCAAGTGAAAGAGCTCCCAATGGCCAAAGCCGGAACAATTTAAACAATAACATAGAATAATATTGGATTATTACCCCGAAGCATAAACTAAATACCCAGGAGTTCACACTAGTATAAATAAATGACTGATTAAATCAATTCACGGGGGAGAAAAAACATCTCTCATTCAGAATTCCAAATCCACTGTGTAGACTCCCCTAAAGACAGAGGGTAGAACTCCCCTCTCCTTAAGTGTTGGCTGTGTATGGGGAATTTTGTCCAAAACGTATAGTTTTTGAAAGGGTAGGGTAGTAACTTTACAATGGAGAAACTGCACGAACACTAACTACTTCAGTCAGGTGACCAAAGTCAATAGCAACAATCTTAAATCATGTCGTGAATTCGTACTCTTAATATTGAAGTGATGTGGCACTTACCACTTTACCTCTGTGACCCCCCGCCCCCCAAATCCACAACCCCAGTCTACTCAGGAGAAAAACATCGGGCAAATTCCAGCAGAAGAGCATCCTACGGGCCTGACCGGTACTCTCTAACACTGCCAGTCACCCAAAACAAGGGAGGTCCACCCTTCCATTGTAACAGGGGAGAGCAGTCCTAGTGGTAAGCAGTATTCTTAAAAATAAAGAACACCATCCCTTTTGTCTTCTGATCATAGAATATACATTTATTCCTGAAAACTTGGAAACACATAAAGGTATAAAGAAAAAAAATACTTATTATTTCATGATGACCACCATCTAGTAAGAACCATTATTAATATTTTAACATGTTTCCTTTTAATTTCATTTCCATGTGTATAAATATATGTACGTGTATACACACACACACACACACACACACCCCACACACACACACACAATAGGACCATGACAACTAAATGTAATGTTGTATACTGGATGGAATCCCAGAACAGAAAAAGAGCAACAGGTAAAACTAAGGAAGTGTGACACAAGTGTGACTTTAAATCATTACAATGTATCAATATGGTTTCATAACTGTAACTTAGGTACCATACTAATATATGACGCTAATAATACGGGAAACTGTTCCAGGGCATAGAGAAACTTTCCGTACTATCTCACTATTTCAATACTTATTATAATACTTTACCACTTATTAAAAGTGGTAAAGTGGTAAGTGCCATTTCATCACTTCAATATTAAGGGTACGAATTCATGACCGCCATCTAGTAATAACCATTATTAATATTTTAACATGTATCCTTTTAATTTCATTTCCATGTATACAAATACATGTACGTGTATACACATACACACACACACACACACACACACACACATACACACAATAGGACCATGACAATTAAATGTAATGTAGTATACTGGATGGAATCCCAGAACAGAAAAAGAGCAACAGGTAAAACTAAGGAAGTGTGACACAAGTGTGATTTTAAATAATTACAATGTATCAAAATGGTTTCATAACTGTAACTTATGTACCATACTAATATATGGTGCTAATAATATGGGAAACTGCTCCAGGGCATAGAGAAACTTTCCGTACTATCTCTCCAGTTTTTCTGTAAATCTAAAATTGTTTCAAAAAATAAAATCTATTTTAAAAAACCTTGAGTAGCACTTTAAATGCAGTTTCTCAGACCTTCCTTGCTTTTACGACCTTGGCCATTTTGAAGAGAACTGGTCAGGTATATGATAGGATGCTCTGCTGCTAGAATTTGTCTCATGTTTTCCTCCTGATTAGACTGGGGCTCAGGGCTTGGGGGAGGAGAATCCCAGAGGTAAAGTACCATTGCATCACGTCATATTAAGGTACATAGTAACACCTTGTTAGAGAACAATAAGAAATAATACAGTACATAATTAAGATCTCTTAAATGATTCATAATGTCATTGTTCCCACAGTCCAGAGAAGGGAGAAAACTAGGAGATCTGGGATGGTGAGGGGAGGATTTATAAATAACAAAGTCTCAAGTTTGGAAGAGCACTTAGAAGTCATGCATTCATTCGTGTAACAAATATTTATTGAGCATCTACTACATGCCAGATATAATGCTAGATAATGGGGATCATAGTGAATCATCTAGACTTGCATCCTTCCTCTACAGTTATGAAGTAGCAACGAAAATAATTTTATGGTTGGGTCACAACATGAGGAACTGTATTTAAAGGGCCAAAAGGTTGAGAACCACTGCTCTAGACAAAAAAAAATATATGGCTAAATAAAGGGCATTTTACAAAAGATTAGTTATTTAAAAATATTTTTAAATAGTTATAAAGTAATCTATGTTGCAAACATACACACACATTTATGAAAAAAATGTTCTTAAAGGATATACATTAATTTAAGGTGTGTTTTGGGGGAGGCAGTTATTTGTAATTTAAGGTTTTCTTCTATACAATTTTTATAATGAGAAAAAAATGTTGATTTAAATTTAAAAATATATACTAACAATTGTAGATGAGACTAGTAACATGCAGCAGGAAGGAGAGGGTAAAAGAATATGTGTCTGAGAAACTTGGAAAGTTTCAAGTCCAACTACCTCGAGAAAATGTGAAGCAAAAGCTGGCTGTTAGATAACAGATTGCATGGTGATCTGATTGACAGAGCGTATGAGGGAAGAGAGGAGGACTGGTGGACCCTGGAGTAAGGATCCATCACCATGTCGTCGGGCCCTTTCAGGGAAAGAACACTCCCACTGCTGGCTCCTGTCTCTTTCCACTTGGCAGACAATGGAGAGGGGAGCTGGGCTTTTGTTTGTTTGTTTGTTTTTAATATATTTTTATTGACTTCAGAGAGGAAGGGAGAGGAAGGGAGAGGAAGGGAGAGATGGAAACATCAATGATGAGAGCGAATCATTGATCAGCTGCTTCCTGCATGTCCCCTACTAGAGGATCGAGCCTACAACCTGGGCATGTGCCCTTGACTGGAATAGAACCCAGAACCCTTCAGTCCACTGGCCGATGCTCTATCCACTAAGCCAAACTGGCTAAGGCTGGGGGAGGGGGAGTACAGGGGGGAGCTATTTTGACTGCAAATCAGCCAGGAGTCAGGAAGAGGCCATGCGTTTGAGGTTAGACAAATCTAATTCCATTTCCACATACGTATCAAGTGGCTCCCAACAAAGTGGGGTAAAATAAGACAAAATTTTATCTGATTCAGGCAATAAACGAAACCATTCATCTCTAACCCGCTCAGCTCTGTAATTACAACGAGTCTCTTATACTTAAGATTGTGGTTGTTGCTCAATTCTTGACAGTAAAGTCTCTTATAACTGGTTCCAAACTACTCTTCTTTAATATCAACCGTCCCCAGTGTTCCCCCCTGCATTCTCCCTCCCGTAAAACAACAACATCCCATACACATTATGCTCATCCCCATTATGTATAACTGTGTGTTACGGAACAAGTTACTGAGAACAAGTTGCAACAAAACATACAGAAAAACAGTTACATGGAATTTAAGGAAGTTACATGCATGTAGTGGTTAAGAACATGGATTTAATCCCAGTTCTGTCATTTCTTAGCTATATAACTTCCAGCTATTTTAAAAATATCTCTAAAACTGTTTCCTTTGCCTGGCTGTTTTGGCTCAGTGGATAGAGAGTCGGCCTGCAGACTGAAGGGTCCCAGGTTCGATTCCGGTCAAGGGCATGTACCTTGGTTGCGGGCACATACCCAGTGGGGGGTGTGCAGGAGGCAGCTGATGGATGTTTCTCTCTCATCGATGTTTCTAGCTCTCTATCCCTCACCCTTCCTCTCTGTAAAAAAATCAATAAAATATATATTTTTTAAAAAATTGTTTCCTTCATCCTTAAAAGGGTTTTAATAAAAACAAAATCATCTTCATTCACTTAACAAATATTTACTGCGTGCTTACTACGTGCCAGGCGCTGTTCTAAGAGATCCAGGGACTGAGGCCTAGAGCACTCTAAGGCTTAGGCTTTCCTATATTTGTAGTGAAAAAATCACCCCAAAAGAATAAACATGCAAAAGCCATGGACAGACAATTGACAAAAGTCTGACCAATAAAAGACTCTACCTGTCAAACTGACAAAGATTTAAATAATAATCAGGCTGTCATGAATTTTGTTGAGATGGACACTCTCATAATTCACTAGAACACAATTGTCCCTGACCAGGAATCGAACCAGCCACCTCTGGTGTAGGGGAGGACCCTCTAACTTGCCATACAGGCCAGGGTTCAACAGCCTTTTCTAATGTTCATACCCTTAATCCACTAATCCTATTAAAACTTTTAACCTAAAGAAATCATCAGATATGTAGTCAGAGATATAAGTTCAAGGATGTTCATCAAAGAGCTATTCATAGTAACAAAAATCCTGAAATAACTTAAATGGTCCAACAAAAAAATGATCAAAAAAATTCAAAATATTCATTTTAGACCATTACGTAGCCATAAAAATGACTTTTAAAAAATATTATTTTTATTGATCTCAGAGAGGAAGAAAGAGGGGGAGAGAGAGAGAGATAGAAACATCAATGATGTGAGAGAATCATTTATCAGCTGCCTCCTGCACACCCCACACTGGGGATAGAGCCCGCAACCTAGACATATGCCTTGACCAGAAATTGAATCCTGCCCTTCTGTTTCATAGGTTGACACTCAACCACTGAACCCACCAGCTGGGCCATAAAAATGGCTTTAAATAATATTTAAAAGAAAAAAAATTCACAAAATAATGTAAACTAAGGGGGAACATAATAAAAATTGCATTTATTGTATGACCCTATTTATGCAATACACACACATATATATGTATACATGCAGAAAGAAATAGAAAGGATACATATTAAAATATAATAATGGCTATCACTACATCATGGTCATGATATAATAGGTATTTTTCTTTATACCTTTATGTGTTTCCAAATTTTCTAGAATAAATGTATATTACTTCTGTAATCAGAAAACAAAAGGTAAGGTGTTCTTTATTTTTAAGAATGCTACCACTAGCACTGCTCTCGCCTTTCACAATGGAAGTGTGGGATGCAGTGTGTCTAGCTATATATTTGTTTAGAATATTTGTTGGATATCAATTGAAGAACAAATATCCAAAAATGGAATGACTGGAAAGTGAGATAGGGTCATTTTACTAAAGACGATTAAATAGAAGCTGGATAACCATTTACTTAATATGGTTTACCCGAGGAAGAATGCATGTCTAGAGTAGAGGATTCATTATGATCCCCCTTGTCTAGCACTGTCTGGCATATTGATTTATGCTCAATAAATATTTGTTGAATGAATGAATGAATGAGTGAACACAAGATATCTAAGCTTTCTTCCAAACTTGAGACTTTGTGATTCATAAAATGCGCCCCCCTCCCCCCAACTATCCCAGTCTTCTTAGCTTTCTCCCTTCTCTGAACTGTGGTAGCAACTATAAAATGAACCACTACTTTTAAGAGCCCTTAATTATATACTGTATTGTACTGTATGTTGTCTTTTATGAATTGTTCCCTAACCACATTAGGAGTTTAAATTCTGAATCCCCAATCAATTCCATTCAATCAACCTTCATTGGGCAATGTGTAGTAAGTATTAGAACCTGCCCTACAGAACCTTATATTCTGAGAAGACTAGAAACATTAAAGCGAAAGGGTGCCCTAAGTACTCTAATAGAGGTACACATAAAATGCTAGCGTCAGACTGGGAAACAACTCA